TTTGAAAAATAATTTAAATCTTTGCAGACTATAAATCCATATGTACTATATATCATTTATTTAAATATGTGGGCAACAAATTATAGATTCATTTTATTTAAAAATTATTATATTATTCTTATGTTTTAAATTCAACTATAGGGGTGCGGCCAGGTAGGGGGCCTTACAAGATAATGTGCCCAGGGGCCCCTGATTTCTTAATCCGGGCCTGTACAGGATGCTTTATAATAATTTATTTGTCCTTTAGTCATTACAAAAGACAAAACGGAGCTAAAGGTGTGGAGTTTGCATGTTCTCCCCGTGCTGGCGTGGGTTTCCTCCGGGTGCTCCGGTTTTCCCCCACAGTCCAAACACATGCGCTATAGGAGAACTGAATAAACTAAAGTGGCTGTAGTTTATGGATGTATGTGTGTGTAAGAGAGAATGAGTGTGTATGGGTGTTTCCCAGTGCTGGGTTGCAGCTGGAGGGGTGTCCGCTGTGTAAAACATTTATTTATTCATTTTCTTTTTGGCTTGGTCTCTTTATTAATCCGGGGTCGCCGCTGTGTAAAACATATGCTGGATTAGTTGGTGGTTCATTCCGCTGTGGTGACCCCTGATTAATAAAGGGACTAATCCAGGGGTGTCTAAACTCGGTCCTGGAGGGCCGGTGTCCTGCATAGTTTAGCTCCAACTTGCTTCAACACACCTCCCTGGAAGTTTCTAGTAAACCTAAAAAGAGCTTGATCAGCTGGTTCAGGTGTGTTTAACTGAGGTTGGAATTAAATATGCAGGACATCCCTGGACTAAGCCAAAGGAAAATGAATGAAAACCAAAGCTAATCCAAAAAAAAAAAAAAAAAAAAAAAAAAAACTGAAGACAGTCTAAAAATGACTACACCCAAATGAATATGTTGGGGAAAATATTAAATAATATTTTAATCCACAGGAAAAATCAAGAGAAACATAAAAAATACTAAGTTTAATTGAAATATTTTTGTAGTTTGTGTTTATTTTGTGTAATAACTCGTTTGAATGACCTGTCTTTCTGTTCAGTGACCAAACTCTTATTTTAATAGTTATAATGAATATATATTATATACATTTAACAAAACAGTTCTGTTTAAATACATCAGTGATTGTCTTTATTCACCTGAGAAATGGATAAACATTCAATTTCACAAGGAGGAGTACTCAATCATGCATATATCAGGGTGTCCGTGTGGCATGTTGTTAGATTGTCGAGAGACAGGGTAGTTTTACCCTACTGATGTGCTTCATTGTTGCACTAGTAATCCCGCTCCGTATGAGACGAACCACGGGTTTAGACATTTGGTTTGTGCGCTTGGCTGAGGAGCCACTGGCGCAAAGCCACCATCTGCGGGATTATGACTGAACGCCTATAAGGGAGAATCCTGCCTAAAGGCGACGATACCGCAGCGCCGTCAAACCTCCGATGGGCAGCCCAGGGTAGCCAGCCCCAGCACGGAGCGCCACCTGTGACTGGAAACAGGGATGTGACTGGAACAAGCGCCCCACTTGTTTGTGGGGAACCTGGTACTTAAATGACTTGTAGACGACAAGATTAAAAACCTTTAAGGAAAGTCTTAGTGTAAAATTTCAAGAACATTCGTATTAATTTCAGACCTTAAAGTCATAAATCTGCTGAAATATCGACTTGTAGATATTAAATAATTTTAAACGGGACTTAATTTTCCAATGTGCATGTAAAGCTACCCAGTCAGGCCAACACCTGTGTACAGTTTACAGTCACCAACAATACATCTCAACAGAACTATTAACAAAACTCATTCATCCATTCATTTTCGGCTTAGTCCCTTTATTTATCTGGGGTCACCACAGCGGAATGAACTGCCAACTTATCCAGCATATATTGTATGCAGCGGATGCCCTTCCTGCTGCAACCCATCACTGGAAAACATCCATACACACTCTTTGACAAACTCATACACTACGGCCAGTTTAGTTCATCGATTCCCCTATAGCACATGTGTTTAGACTGTGTGTGAAAGCGGAGCACCCGGAGGAAACCCACACCAACACGGGGAGAACATGCAAACACAGAAATGCCATCTGACCCAGCCGGGGCTCAAATCAGCGACCTTCTTGCTGTGAGGCGATTGTGCTACCCACTGTGCTCTATTTAATAATATGGTTCCTCACAATAACATGTGTGTGTGTTCTCCATGTATTTATAGACCATATGTGATGAGGACACTGACCTGGACAGTCTGTTGTACATATAGTTCATCATTGTTTTTAAAGCTTGTCAAATAAAAGTTGTGTATGTATGGTTTGCATGTTTTCAAAGTCAAAGTCAAAGTCAGCTTTATTGTCAATTCAGCCACATGTACAAGACATACAGAGAATCGAAATTGCGTTACTCTCAGACCCAAGGTGCTTAACATTAATATAATATATATATATAAAAAATAGTAGAGTTTAAGAAAAAAAGAAAATTTAGAAAATTTACAGTATATACATTGCACATAAATGTGGTCTAAGAAATATACATATGTAATAAAAAAATTGTAAACAATACAGTGACATTAAGGGCATATAGCAATGAGTGCAAAGTAAACCAGGGTTGTGCAGATAAAAACAGTATAGTGCAAAAAGAACTTGTAAACATGATAATTGTGATAAAGTGACAGTGACATATTGGGAGGTAGTATATGTGTCTGCATAAAGTGACCAGTGCAGATGAGTGTGTGTGTGTGTGTGTGTGTGTGTGTATGTGTGTGTGTGTGTGTGTGTGTGTGTGTGTGTCAGAGTCCAGAGGTGTGTGTGTGTGTGTGTGTGTGTGTGTGTGTCAGAGTCCAGAGGTGCGAGGGGTTTTGACACGAGGGGTTTTGACGCACCATTTAAGTATTATTCAAGTAATTAAGACATTTATAATGGGACAAGAAAAAAATCCTCACTGTTTAGTCATGTATAAGTGTCTGGAATTTAATTCGTAATTGTCTTAAAGTTTTTTGGCTTGGTGAAACCTGCAGAAATCCAAGTATATAATATTACATGAACTATTTAGGAGCAATGCTTGTGTCATAATTCAGCATTGAATTAGCTGACACTCAAACCAGTGATCTTCTTTACATTTACATTTAGTCATTTAGCAGGAGCTTTTATCCAAAGCGACTTACAAATGAGGACAAGGAAGCAACTTACACAACTATATGAGCAACAATGAATAAGTGCTGTAGGCAAGTTTCAGGTGTGTAAAGTCTAAGAAGCAAAACATTAGTAATTTTTTTTATTGTAGTACAGTTAGCAGTGGAGCCAGAGAGGCAATTGCAGATTAGGAAGGAAAGTGGAGATTAAATAGTTGAGTTTTTAGTGGTTTCTTGAAGACAGCGAGTGACTCTGCTGTTCTGATGCAGTTAGGCAGTTCATTCCACCAACTGGGCAGATTGAATGCGAGAGTTCGGGAAAGCATTTTCTTCCCTCTTTGGGATGGAACCACGAGGCGACGTTCATTCACAGAACGCAAGTTTCTGGAGGGCACATACATCTGCAGAAGTGAGAGCAGATAAGAAGGAGCAAAGCCAGAAGTCGCTTTGTAGGCAAACATCAGAGCTTTGAATTTGATGCGAGCAGCAACTGGCAGCCAGTGCAAACGAATAAGCAGCAGAGTGACATTTTCATTTACATGTAGTCATTTAGCAGACGCTTTTATCCAAAGTGACTTACAAATGAGGACAAGGAAGCAATTTACACAACCATAAGAGCAACAATGAATAAGTGCTGTAGGCAAGTTTCAGGTCTGTAAAGTCTAAGAAGGAAAGTATTAGTACATTTTTTTTTTTGGGTACAGTTAGTGGTATATCCAGAGAGGCAATTGCAGATTATAAAGTGAAGTGGAGACTAAATAGTTGAGTTTTTAGTCGTTTCTTGAAGACAGCGAGTGACTCTGCCGTTCTGATGCAGTTAGGGAGTTCATTCCACCAGCTGGGCAGATTGATCACGAGCGTTCGGGAAAGCATTTTCTTCCCTCTTTAGGATGGAACCTACGAGGCGACGTTCATTCACAGAACGCAAGTTTCTGGAGGGCACATACATCTGCAGAAGTGAGAGCAGATAAGAAGGAGCAAAGCCAGAAGTCACTTTGTTGGCAAACATCAGAGCTTTGAATTTGATGCGAGCAGCAACTGGCAGCCAGTGCAAATGGATGAGCAGCGGAGTGACATGTGCTCTTTTAGGTTCATTGAAGACCACTCGTGCTGCTGCGTTCTGAAGCAGCTGAAGAGGTTTGATAGAGTCAGCTGGAAGCCCGGCGTGTAGAGAGTTGCAATAATCAAGTCTGGAGAGAACAAGAGCTTGAACAAGCCTCTTCTTGCTGTGAGGTGACAGTGCTTACCACTGAGCCATCGTGGTTTTGTTCAAATGCACCAAAATATACCACCTATATTCACTAAGAAATGAATAAAAGTTTGAATAGTTATCTCATTTATGCTGAGCACTGTGTAAATATAGTGGAGTCATGTTTTATTATGTTGTCTGTACTCGTCCTCCGGTGTGTGATTTGTGCACTGCTGTTTTAATGGGCTCTTTTCTTCTGTTGTGTTTTTTCTCTGCAGACTATGAAAAGATGTTTGGTACCAAGTGCCACGGCTGTGACTTTAAGATTGATGCGGGCGACCGTTTCCTGGAGGCGCTGGGCTACAGCTGGCACGACACTTGCTTCGTCTGTGCTGTAAGTCATGTTGATGCATTAGGAGCCGTCGCACAACTCCAGCGCTAAACTTTCTGCACAACACAACACATGCAGTCCCCGAGCCACTGTCAACACACACCTTTCTCTGCCAGTTCATACTGTGAGGCTTTCAAAAACAATACAGTCATTTTGAACTATTTTACAAACACCAAACTTTTTAATTATAATATTCATTTATTTTTTTTCAGCTTAGTCGAGTATTTGTCAGGGGTCGCCACAGTGGAATGAACCACCAATTGTTCTGGTATTTGTTTATGCAGCGGATGGCCTTCCAGCTGCAACTCAGTACTGGAAAATAATTATTATGTAATATTTAATAATAATAATAATAATAACAACTATAATAATAATTATATACACAATTATGCTGTCAAACTGTTGTATAAACTCAATATCACACGAGTAGCAGTGTGATATGGCTGTATATTGGCA